TCTAACGCGCGGGACTCGTAAACAAAGTTTTAAGGCATCCGGATATGAGCCTTATTTCTTACGCGCTACGGTCGGTTATCGCGGGCGCGCGTATAATTTAATAGAGTAGATAAGCATGCAGAGCATGCAGCATGAAAGCAAGCATGCAGCATGCATTGGTATCTCCTCGTCTCCGGCGCTGCGGGATGTGCAGCCCTTCCGCCCTTGCGTAACGAGGCTCAGGCACCCACGCTTGCTTCCGCAGCTTCGGCTTTTTGGATCGCCATCGGCGCCTTCGGCGCCTCGGCGACCAGCCTCAGCCGCTCCAGCTCACCCGGGCGCCTGAGCCTCGTTACAGCGGGCGAGGGCTGCCCTCCCTCCGCGCCTCCGGCTTTTAAATTACACTCTAGGGGTAGGGCAGACAAGACTACGTGGAGTCGGTTTTGCAGCGATTCGTTTCTGTCACGTTAGTTTTGTGGCACAAAATATTGCCTATTTTGGACCATTTCAAATTAATTTAATGTTAAAATACGATTTAATACGAATATAGACATCATGATTTTCAATAATATGGATAAATACACTTATGAGTAATAAATTTATGAAAACAAATATTAGGATACATCATATTTATGAATATTATAGTTATTTATTCGAATGATTATGAGTTTCGATCATTAGTATAGAAAAATATATGAAAACAAATATTAGTAAAAACTAAGTGTATGATTAGTGATATTATGAATATCAATGATTATGTTTTTAAATATTTAGGTTTTAAATTTTTTATGAAGAATGATCATTATGGTATCAAATTGTATGAGAAATATTTTCGGACCTCCAATGATAGGAATTGAAAAGTTATGTAAGAAAATGCGCTACCCTCCCGAACACTTCAAACCGGGCCTTTTCAAGGCAGGAGTAAAAATAGGCACTTGCAGGGCAGATATTTTATGTACCATCCTAGACTGCATCTCACTTCCAGGTGCGATCAGTGCCGGATTAGCCACGTAGCAAGAGTAGCAAATGCTACGGGCCCCGCGAATTTGGGGGCCCCGCGCTCCAACGCCCCTGTCTGACCGAAATAAAAAAATATTAATTTAGATAGGAGCCTGTCTCATCTGTGGATAGGAGCGTAAAATATTATTATCTTGCAGAACGAGGGCTTGCGCTTCGGGGTAGTGACGAAATTGTTGGTTCACCTCACAATGGAAATTATTTAGGCTTTCTAGAATTAATAGCATAGCTGGGCACCGTTAATCAAATAGTTAACTTCGTTAATCGTTAAACCGTTAATAAAAAAATTAACTTCGTTAAACGTTAAAACGTTACATTTCGCAAGATTTAACGCAAGTTAACGTTAATCGTTAATCCGTTAACACATGATAATAAAACGAAAAAAAAAATTGTATGCAAGGTACAAAAAATTTCGAAAGCTTGTAGTATCGCGCATGGAATTTATTCCTTTTTTATGTTTGCGCTACAAGCTTTCGAAATTATTAGAACCTTGCAAATTACAATTATTTTTTTTTCGTTTTAGTACAACTGTATTTCAGAATAAAAGCTTGTTTTTAAAAAACTTTAAAACACTTTTTAGTACAGGGTGGCCCAGAAGAAAATTAACTTTTGAAAATTAAAGGAATCGAAAACTGTTCATTTTTGTAGAACTTTAACTATTGCAATTTAAAAGAAATTTGGTGCAATTTATTTTAAAATTTACTTTCTTTTATAATTTTGATCGTACATGTGATTCCCTTGACGTTTACAACATTCGGTCAACATACATCAAAATTTTAGAAAACTTTTGTTAAGAGTTACCTCGAAATGGATTCAGGATGGATGAATGCTGCAGAGTGTTTGGATTATTAGAGTATACTTTGCTCATAAGGTAACCCCACAAAAAGAAGTCTGCTGGAATGAGATTAGCGCTTCTTAGAGGCAGTGAGATTTCACCCCTGCTTAATTGGTTTGTTGCATTGAAAGGATGATTAATTTTTGAGAGCGCTATACTGGTAGGCTGAAAAGCTTTTTGATTTCAAAACTGCAAGATTCGCAAGGCTGTGACCGGAGCACTTGGTTTCATCAAGATGGGGCTACGTGTCACACTTCAAATGAGAGAATTTAGATGGTAAAGACATGTTCCCACAAAAAAATAATTTCAAGCAGGGGTGACATCTCCTGGCCCCCAGGAAGCCCTGATCTCATTCCAGAAAATTATTTTTTGTGGTGTTACATTAAGAATAGTGTACTTTTATAATCCAACAACCACGCAGCAACTGAAGCTGAGCATTCGGCAAAAAATTGAAAATAGGTTTCGAGGTAATTCTAACGAACGCATTTCAAGATTTTGATGTATGTTGATCGAATGTTGTAAGAGTCGAGGAAATCTCCTGGACGGTGTTATTAAATAAAGTGAAATTTAATAATAAATTGCATTAAATTTCCTTTAAAGTGCAATAGCAAAAGTTCTATAAAAATTTACAGTTTTCGTTTCCTTGAAATTTCAAAAGTGAACTTTCTTCTGGGCCATCCTGTAGTATCTCAATCTCAGAGCCTTGGTTCAATTACAATACAATTTAGCACTAAAGTGCTCGAAAAAACAAAACCAGCAAACCCAAACTCGATAAGTTTCCACCGTTTCGTTTAGGAATTCCTATGGCCACCTCCTGACTCCATCATCAGGACCCTGGACATCATCTAGTACCAAAGTGCTCGAAAAGACAAATCCAACGAACCCAAATTCGATGCGATGCCGCAGTTTCATTTAGGAGTTCCTATGGCCTGTGGCCACCTCATGACGCCATCATCAGACCAGCTCAATGGTACCATAACATTGCATTGTCATCGTACTTACATAAGTATACCAAATTTCAGCTCAATCGGTTCAGGAAAACTGGTCTTAAATTCAGTTGCAAGAGTTGTCCCACACATATTTACAAACAAGTAGTGTCGTTAAACTGTTGTTTTGGGTTCTAGAAGTTCTGGAAGCCCGAACGTACTTGCCAGAACGCGTTTTTCAGCGTGCCTGCTATATCTTTTTGGTAAATAGTAGGTACTGGATTAACGATTAACGGACTTAGGATAATTTAACGGAAGTTAACGAGTCCGTTAACATTTTTTAAAGTTAACTTAAAAGTTAATCCGTTAATAGAAATGTTAACTTCGTTAATTAACGATTAACGGATTAGACAGACGGACAGACGGACAGACGGACAGACGGACAGACGGACAGACGGACAGACGGACATGACGAAACTATAAGGGTTCCGTTTTTGCCATTTTGGCTACGGAACCCTAAAAATAATAAAAAAAAAAAAATAATTATGCTAATAAAGAAAAGGGACGTACTATCGGCAACAGTGTTAACTGCCCATTGCCAGTCATGTCATCTCGTTCTATCGCAAAGAATCACCATTTGATTAGAGCGAGAGCAAAAACGGACATATATAGTTAATAGTGTGGCCGTGTGTAGGTACGTCATATTTATCAAAAACAAGCTGTGAGGACTTAATTCATCTAATTGCATCAAGCCTATTGGATCAAATTATTTGCGGAATTAAGAGATGCAAATACTACTCAGTTTCATTGGATTCTACTCCAGATATATCGCATGTAGACCAGCTGACTCTGATAGTGCGCTATGTTCTGCTTCTGCCATCTGGACCAGTAGAATTTGTTAAGTTCTTGGACATGGAAGGTCATACTGCTGAACAACTCGCTTAAAGTTTACTAGATTTCTTAAGTGAGACTGGCATTGATATCAAAGATTGTCGTGGGATAATGCCAGTAACATGAGTGGGAAATACATTGGCTTACAAGCCCGAATTAAGGAAATAAATAAGTACGCCGAATATATTCCCTGTCTTGCACACTCATTAAATTTGGTTGCTAAGTACGCTGCAGACTGCTGTACAGAAGCATTACTTTTCTTCGATTTCATTGAAAACCGCTATAATAGGTATACATTTTTTTCCGTGTCTACCTATCGATGGGGTCGTCTTACGAACGCACTTAAAGATTCTACCTCAAAAATTCCGATTTTAAAACGGTTATCGGACACTAGGTGGTCAGCCCGAGCTGATGCTACGAAAGCACTTTTACTGTTTTGTGGTTTTGTCACTATTAAGCAAGTTTTGGAAGACATTTTCAGTAACGTGGATCAAAAACCGGAGTGCCGTTTTATTTAATACCCTAAACTTGACAACCTAAAGCAAACCAAGGGCCCCTTGATAGAAATTTGCTACAGGCCCCGCGCTGGCTTAATCCGGCACTGGGTGCGATTGCGGTCAAATACCTGCCTTGTTATGCATAAAAAAGACTGATGATAGATGTTTTTACATTGCATAATTTCATATTCCAGCGTCTGTACATCAATAAGTCTTGATTAGTATGTTACTCTGTTGAAACTTGACTGAACGTGCAAACCTAACTTTTCGACATTGTGTTTCGAAAACGCTTACTATGTTGTGGTGAAGCGTACTTGATGACTCATTCTCGGTGCGATGTTGTTCGTATTTCTAATCTTCGTCGAATGCAATAGTTAATGTGTGCAGGACTGTTTATTTATCCGGTCAATAAAATATACGGAACGGTTACGAAGACCGGGTAATCGTAGCGGAGTAGGTACACGGAGTGGGCTGTCGACGGACGCGGTAAAACGATGATGCGGTGGACTGTAGACTGTGGACTGTATACGGTGGCACTCCGGTAGACGGTATCTCCAGTCGTTGCACACTGAAGTTCGGTGGGTGGATCGTTGACTCGTCTTTGTCGAAGGACGGCGTCGATACGGTGCGCGGTGAAACGTATCCGAAGTCACGAAGCAATAACGGTGTCCGGTTCTGATGCTGAAGTCGTCACTATGATCACTATTCTTCTATCGCGGTGAGAAGTCTTCCTGTAGCTCTTCGGTCGGAGGAGGTTCACTCTTGATCTGTTCGGAGAACTGTCTTGAGTAAAACTGATGACGGATCGGTCCGGCGGCCGGTTTATATACCGCTCCAGCTCGCCTACTTTTTTTAGGGTTCTGTAGGAAGATTTCGTAGTCGTCGTGAACATACTCCCGCCGTGCAGCGGCGCACTCGTGTCGTCGCTGCATCCAAATCGCTAACACGACGACTGACTACTGTTCTGTCACCCCCTTTTCGGTAGGTAGGATGACGAGCCTCTTCGTAGGTCTGCGCATGACACCTCCTTGTGTCATGATGTCTGCGGTGCGGACGATTCCGTCTCGTCCCGGATACGTTGCGATGACTTTCCCTCGGGGCCAAGTATTGCGAGGTAAGTTGGGGTCGACGACTAATACTAAGTCGTCTACTTTCAAAGGAGCTCCCCGGCCATGGGGCTCCCGCCGGTGTTGGAGTTCTGGTAGGTATTCACGTAACCATCTTGCCCAGAACTGATCTGCGAGTAGTTGAGCGCGGCGCCACTGTTGCTTGCTCACGGTGTCGGATTTGGTAAATGTTCCCGGTGTCTGTACTCGGCCTGAACCACCGATTAAAAAATGGTTCGGGGTAAGAGCTTCATCGTCTTCAGGTGACGTAGAAACATGAGTTAGCGGACGGCTGTTAACTATGTACTCGGCTTCACATAGTAATGTTCGCAACACATCTTCGCGCGGGTGCTGTTCGTGTAGTATACGGTAGAGGGCGTTCTTCACTGAGCGCACAAGGCGTTCCCATGCACCCCCCATGAACGGTGCACCTGGTGGTATATACCTCCAAGTGATTGATCGCTTCGTAGCTTCGTTCTTGACGGCTTCACGGAGCTCCCGGTCGGCACCGTGAAAGTTCGTCCCGTTGTCGGAGTATATTTCGGTAGGCGCTCCGCGGCGTGCGATCATACGCCTCAGAGCCATAATTGCTGCGTCTGCGGTTAGGTCAGCTGCCAATTCTAAGTGCACGGCGCGCGTAGTGAGACATGTAAAGAGAGCTACATATCTTTTTTCATGATGACGGCCTACGGTTACTGAGAGTGGGCCGAAATAATCGACCCCTGTGAATGTAAACGGCCGTTGATGATGAGCAAGTCGGCTCCTCGGATGGTTACCAGTCGGAGGTTCGGTCGGTATAGCTCTTCTTAGGCGGCATTGCTGACACTGTTTCACGATAGTGCGTGTAATCGGACGTAATCTCACTATGTAATAGTGCTGGCGGGCTTCATTAACTGTGGTTTCGATCCCCGCGTGTGCTAATTGTTCATGTATCCATGCTAGATACAGCTTCGTATATCGGTGATTGCCGTCTAAAACTGCCGGTTCTCTCTGTTCTAGCGTTATGTCGTTCGCAGCGGCTATTCTCGATGCGACACGTATTTTTTCGTCGGTGAACGTGAATTTAGTACGATGATCTAGTCTGCTGTTCGTCGGAAGATGCTGGCCGTTACGGAGTGCTTCAATCTCTTCGTGAAACATCTCTTCTTGCACAGCTTGCACCCAGAGCGACTCGGCTTGCTGCAGAAACGGTACTTCAATTATAACGCCTAGTCGACTCTGCTCGGATACGTCGGCGTGTAACTTTGCGTGTAATTTTCTGGCAGGAGACGG